CGTCTTAACCCCAGTGAGGTGGGAAGATTGGAGCCTTGTGAGCCCAGGCGTGCCGTGATCCCTGGGCTGCTGTGAGAAGAGACATGGGCGGCCAGGGCAGCAGCAGGGAGACCCCTGGGAGGCTACCACAGAATCCAGGTGGAGGTGGTGGTGGTGGGCACCTGGCAGGGGGAGTCTGGGCTGGGGACCATGTGTGCTCCGCTCCCTCCTCTGTAATCTAATTTGCCAGATCCTTCCTGGGAATTTTAACGGTGTGCTACTTTTATGATAATTACGTGCTGCAGGGTTATAGGCGTCCCCTGTTTGATGTAGCAATTTATGAAACAATGACACCGGTTTACACCTTTCATCTCAAGGTTTTGGAGAGGATGACACATTTTCTTCTCCGAGGAAGCCAATTCATTAACTTGATTCCACCTTTCCCACAGAAGAGGGCGTTACTCCCCCACCCAGCGCTGGTTAAGTTGAGGCCCCCTTGGCCGGCAGTTTGCCCCTGGCCCTTCGTGAGCAAAGTTTTGATTATCAGGATCTTCTCATCCGAAGTTTTGAAAACTTACACGTAGGTGGAAACGGGAATTATTTGTTCTGGAATCTTCACAGGGGGAAGGTGCAGGGATTCTAAACAGGAAGTTGAGCTCTCTTCCCTGCTATTTTCGGGGGTGAAGATTCTAGAAACTCTGTATAGTAGAGCTACTTCTCATGACTGTTAACGGGGGCAACTCTCAACGCTGTCTGGAGAGAACATTTGGAAGAGAGGAGACGAGGCAAGAGGTGTCCCCCGGTGCTGAGTCATGGAGAGTGAGTCATGCGTGTGAGGACTATGAACTATGCGTGATCTTGAGTCACGTGTGCATGTGGCCAGTCTGTGTGCCGCCCACTCGTGGCCATGTGCCAGAGTGACACAGTGCCCTCCGGGGATCTGAGGCCCAGTTTTGGGCTTCTTGCTCCTTGTGGCATGAATCTTGGGTTGAGATAGGCATTTGGGGCTCGTATGTACAAGTCAGCAACTTTATCATGTTCTCCAAGAACCAGCACCTGCTTCTAGGCAGCAGGAAACGCGCCTGTGCTGGATGGTGTGGAGGGCGACGTTTCCCACCAAGGCCTGCTGCAGCTCCAGACTTGACAGGCAGCCCGAGGCATTTTTCAAGAGTCATGTGATGGGCCGGCGCCGTGGCTCACTAGGCTAATCCTCCGCCTAGCGGCGCCGGCACACCAGGTTCTAGTCCTGGTTGGGGCGCCGGATTCTGTCCCGGTTGCCCCTCTTCCAGGCCAGCTCTCTGCTGTGGCCAGGGAGTGCAGTGGAAGATGGCCCAGGTGCTTGGGCCCTGCACCCCATGGGAGACCAGGAAAAGCACCTGGCTCCTGCCATCGGATCAGCGCGATGCGCCGGCCGCAGCGCGCCGGCCGCGGTGGCCATTGGAGGGTGAACCAACGGCAAAGGAAGACCTTTCTCTCTGTCTCTCTCTCACTGTCCACTCTGCCTGTCAAAAAAAAAAAAAAGAGTCATGTGACTTTACCTGGCGCGCCCTTCCTGGTCCCGCTCCTCTTCTCTGGGGTCTCAGGTGAAGGTCAGGAGGCTTCCTGGATGGCAGAGCAGTGGCACTCTGCAGAAGCGTGGCCCTTGGGAATGATGTGCACTTGTTTGCGCTGAAGTTGACCTAGGCATTTTTCTTCCGAAGTCACGGTCACATGACTGATGGAGCTCCGGGGACTTGGGAACACAGGACAGTCAAGAGTCCTCTGGCTTCAGTGCACAGCTGGACTCTCTCCTTACTGCGAGTGAGAAGCTGCTTCCATCAGTCCTGTTTCTGCGCTCTCTTCGTGAAGGGGAGATCCAGGCGGCGCCAGCCACAGAGACGTGTGTGTGTCGTTTCTGATCGGCCTTGGTCTCAGCAACAGCCACCTGGCTGTTTGGAAAAAAGAAAGAGTTCCAAGCACATTTCCTGCGTGCATCTGAGTCCTGCCCCTCTGCCAGAGACTCCGAAGGGGCAGCATCTGCAGCCACGGCTGTCACGGGCATTCAGGCTCTCGGGTAACAAGATAAAGGGCAAGAGCCGAATCTTCTCGTGCCAAGAAGAACCAGAGCATTGGAGCCAAGAAGATCAAACCAGTGCTGCAGAGAGTGGCTAAATGGTACCCATTAACCTCTGTCAGGCTGGAGGCCTGGGGCGGGAATTTTGCCAGAAATCAGCCCTGAAAAAAAAAAAAAAAAAAACAAGATTTGGCTGGCTCTGAAGAACCACAGGCTGGGGGCCATGGGAACTCGGAGTCCAAGAAGCTAAGCTCTTCTATCCCCAGGTGGCAAGGATGAACCCCAGGGTTGGGCTTGAGCATCTTGTGGAATGGATGGGATGCAGGTCCACGCCCTGACCCGTGGAGGCAGTGGACCGGGGGCTCCTGGTCCACTGGCGAGCCGCCCCTGTGGGTGGGGAGCGAGCATTTCCTTGCAAGCAAAGGCTGGGCCCCCGCTGAGCGCCCGTCTCATGAGAGCTGCTTGCGGGCTTCCTGTGCCTGCTTCTGCGCCACCCGCAGCCTTCTCCCGGCGCTCGGGTGTCTTGGCTCCATTCTTCACCCTGGTGAGAAAAGAAAGCTTGGCACGGGTTAAACGGCAGATAGAGGAAAACTAGGACCTCGGCTGCTCTGCCGGACGGCAAAGCCAAAGCGCAGGCCACCTGAGGGCATCGTCTGGAAGCCTGCAAGTGTGTCCCCAAAAGCCACTCGAGAAGAGACTTCCCCTCCTCCTTCTCGGATAGGTTGGCAAGCCTGGCTGAGCTTCTGAGCATAAAGCACCTTTCTCCCTGCTGGGAAAGCCAGACTGATGGATGTGGCTGTTCGCTGCAGCCAGCCAAGTAAGCCGAAACTCTGCACTGGCCTTAGTGGCGCGGGTATTAACAAAAGCATTTATTCCAAAGCAAAGAGCCCTCTCCCTAGGCCAAGAGCCCATACAGGCACCTCTGCAGAGCCGTGCATGCCTACTGCCTCTGCAACCCACTGTTGGGTAGAGTTGGTTCTTATCTTTTTCCAATTATTTGAACTATTGTGGTCATTCAAAGTTAAGAAAAGCTTTTTTTTTTTTTTTTTTTTGCAAGAGCCAAGCTTTCTTTTTTCAGATAGAGCAGGTCTTCAGAAGTCAGAGCTGGGTGAGGTCTTGTCCTCAGCTACTGGGAAAGGACATCGTGTAGGAAGTCATTTCTAGAAAGACACTACTAAGGGGAACTTAATAAGCAATTTTTGAGCACACATCCTCTAGAATAGTGTTTTTAAAACTAGGTGATGATTAGAAGTAGTTCAGTGTGAAGAAAACAAGTGAACTAAAACTTGCTTCAGAGCAGAGGGAATCAGAACGCATCACCCGCAGTGAGGATCGGAATCCCTTTTCAAAATCTCGTTCCAGTTGACGGACGTCAGGTGTAGCTTTATTACAAAGGAAACTATGCTGCCTTGGCGGTTCAAGGCCAAGTGAGCTGGGCAGTCACCGTGTCAGCGACGGCTGGGAGTCCCCGGGGTCTGGTCCCAGTTCTGCCACTGTCTCTATGGCCTTTGCAAAACCTGTCGCTCTTAGAAGCCTCAGTTTCTCATCTGTAAAATAAAGCAGTTGTCCATGAATTCCCCTTAGTTCTAAAACCCAGCGACCAAGAAAAAGTCCCAAAGGGATAAATTCTGGCCTAACTCAATACTTTTCCACCAGAAAAAATTTGCGTGCATAGTCACCGTTTCTTTCCATGTTCTGGAAGGCTGTTACCCCGAGAACTCTGCAGTGTGCAGATGCTGTGGGCGAGAGGGGAGCTGCTTTAGGAAGCCAATTTGGCGCAAGGACAATCTCACCGGCCTTCTGACAGAAGTTTTGCACCAAGTGTCTCTGGTTACCCTACAATTATATTTTGATTATACTCGGATGTTTCTTGTGTACAAATCCTCCTTCTGACGATGGGTGTGGGTGGATGAGAAAGGGCAACCAATTGCCCAAGAAACTGCTTCCAGTTCATCTGGAGCCTTGCACTCACAGTCCCTGCTTTGTTTTTTTATGAATGGAATGCCAAAAAAGCATCGATGGAGCAAGAGTACCTAAGGAGACCACAAGTGATTCAGGCCTCTGGGTAGGGAGCAATTGAGAGCTTCTTATGTCTCGGCAGAGGTTCATCAAAACCGTGTCTCACAGGCTTGAGCTCTTCATTCATAACATCCATCAGAAGGCAACTCACGCTCTGGTCGGCTCTCGCTGTGGTGGGCGTCAACTTCCAAATTCATGAATCCCTGAGTTCACAGACAGAAAAGCCAGGGCATCTCGGGCACAGCCAGGGGAGCTCAGCTGCGTTCTCGCACTTCAAATGTGTTACTCTAAGAATGGTTTTTTTTTTGTTTTTGTTTTTTTTTTTTTGACAGGCAGAGTGGACAGTGAGAGAGAGAGACAGAGAGAAAGGTCTTCCTTTGCCGTTGGTTCACCCTCCAATGGCTGCCGCGGCCGGCGCACCGCGCTGATCCGAAGGCAGGAGCCAGGTGCTTCTCCTGGTCTCCCAAGCAGGTGCAGAGCCCAAGCACTTGGGCCATCCTCCACTGCACTCCCTGGCCACAGCAGAGAGCTGGCTTGGAAGAGGGGCAACCGGGACAGAATCTGGCGCCCCGACCGGGACTAGAACCCGGTGTGCCGGCGCTGCAAGGCGGAGGATTAGCCTAGTGAGCCGCGGCACCAGCTAAGAATGGGTTCTGCTACGTAGCTGGTGTGTGGGTTCCAGGGATGAAAGGGGGTTCAGCTTCCTCCATCTCGTCTTGGGGCAGGTGTTTGCTGCAGCAACTGAGAAGCCCACCTCCCATCTCACAGTGCCTGGACTGAGTCCTGGCTTGTCAGTTTCCAACCAATTTCCTGCTATTCGCATTCTGGGAGGCAGCAGATGGTGGCTCAAGTGCTTTGGTGCCTGCACCCATATGCGAGACCCAGACTGAACTCCAGGCTCCTGGCATCAGCCTGGCTGTTGTGGGCATCTGGGGTGTGAATCAGTGGATGCAAGATCTCTCTCTGTCCCTCTACCTTTCAAATAAGTTGAAAATAAATAAATGAAAAAAAAAATTATATCTCAGGTCTAAATCTAATCTTGAGGTTTGCGACAAGGACACAGCATACACTCAACACCATCATCTGTCTTGTTGTCTTTTAATTTCAACAGTGAATTTTGGAGCTACCAATGCACCAAAACCGGAAGGGTCTCTGCAAACCACCTCATCCAATGCCTTATTTTCAGAAGGAGAAAATAAAGGTGCCTTCTTCTAGCCACCTTCTGTACATGTGATCCATCAAATGCAGCCACACAGACACATTTTGCTCTTGAAAGTTGACTGTTACTGACTGACTAATTGTGAATGGAGCTTTGCAGTACTGAATTTGCTATTGATCAACACAGTTCCTATGAATGCCATTCAGAAATCTGACATTTATGTCTGTGACCCACTCTCCCCAAAACACCAAGCCTGAGATGCCTTGACATGTCCAAGAAAACTTGGGGAGGCCCTTATTGGCTTTGATTTCAACCCCATTCTCATAAATTATGTGAAATGTGTCATTTATATGAACGGTCCAGAAGAGCACTTGCCAGTTATAATATAAAAAATGATACCATGGAAACTGAGACCGGGTTGTGGCAGATACCCTGTCGAAGGAATGATTTATAATCTGGAAATGCAAGCAGCAAGAGAGGCCCACCAGCTAGCGCTGTATCATCTACAGCAATCAAATCCCGCAAATATAAAGCAATTTTGCATTACCATTTCCAAGTGCTCCCCACAATAAGGACTCTTGTATGCCCAAGTTTAATATTCAGAGCAGAAACCACAAACTCTAACAGCCGCTCCTGGTCAAGATAGTTAATAACAGTTCCCAGGCAAAAGCAGGCTGTAATAGCATTGCTCTGAGCAGCTGGGGATTTGCTGCCATGTCAGCCTCTCTTTGAGAACTAGAAAACGATGGTGGGTCAGACATCCATTTGCTTTATATATTGATATAATTTCATCAGAATTTATGATGTGGGAATTATTGCGCAGGCAAGAAATGTAATCTAACCTTCATCTCACACAATGCCAAAAAGATATTATGTTTTTGAGAAAAATATCCTGACTTGTTGAATCGGATTATGCACATGCAGCCTTAATAGATTTCAATATTTCCTTGGACAAGTCATTGCTATTTGCATGGTAGGTATTAAATTGGCTTGTATCTAAGACGTTTCTACAAATGAGAGAGAATTCTAATGCCATTTCATTCTTTCCATTTCTCAAGTTCTGGCATGTAGGTTCATTCTGGCAATAATAGCTTAGCCTGATTTCTCTTGCCCATATTTAGACTCTTGATACCCAAATGTTGCAGTAACATACACAGTTCCCCTTCATCTTTGTGAAGAGTTCATGAAGCTTCCATCGTCAAGTGGAATAAATGCCAGTAGTGTTTGAAGACTGTTGTTTAATGATCATGACGTTGAAGCCAATAAATTCTTCTGTTGTCTGGCCTTTGAACTTGTTTTGATTACCTTGAGTTCTATAGTCTTCTTCCAGTGAGAATCTAAATGCAAAATATGTTTTAAGATTAAGGGCTTTCAAGATGGTACCTAATGATTTCATCTAAAACTAAACATTCTTAAAATCAAAAATTATTTTAATGTATCAAAAAGGAACTGACAGCTTGCAAGTCCAGCGCAATGCACCCAAAACGTGGATCTACAGACATGTCTTTTTGTGATATTTTTGATTTCTGTCAATGACATGACTTTGTAGACCAAGGACCATGATTAACCTAGGCAACTGTAGTCACCATGATAATCATTCCCTGATGCTTCTGTTGGATTGTAAACACTCTATAGAGTTGAAATATACATAATTTGGAACTTAGTTTTCTGAAAGTGCAAGAAAGAAGACATATTTTATCTACATAGGGGGAAAAAAAAGCAGTGTCTCATTGGCTGGATTATCCAAGTAACGACAAGGACTCTTCATTTCCTTCCTCCTGCCACACACAGTACCAGGTGACAAATGCACATTATCTCTGATCCTGGCTTCCCCCCGCTGTGAGGTCACCACTATTACCCTCATTTTGCAGATGAGGAAATGAGTGTTGAGGGAGATCGAGTGCCCTGCTCAAGAGCCCACGAGTGGAGAGGGGGCACCTCCTGCATCTGAATGAGGTCTGTTGGATTCCAGCGCGGGGGTTCTTCCCAGTGTTTTCTGCAGCTGCTCCTCCCAGAGACTGCCCGGCTTAGGGCTCCTCTCAGCTGTTGTTTGTGCAGAAGTCACTCCCACCGCCTTCTTCCCACTCTGGAAGTTCAAAAGCCTTTTATTAGACACAACCAAAAAGTCTGGCTGTGCGCAGAGTTCAGGGAGCTGTTGTTTCCTTAAGGAAAGCTGCACGGCACTGTCCTCTGTTCCTTCTTCCTGTCTTGAACAGGAATACACTGGCTGGTGCTGCCACAGCTGTCTTGTCACCATGAGGTAGAAACAGGCTTGTGGTCTTGATGCTGTTAGTCAGCTAAACCAGTGTCCCCAGCTTCCGACTTCTAAATGTCTTGTTATGTAAGAAAAACAAACTCATGCTTGAGATACTTTCAGTAGGGGTTTTATAGCGAGCTGCCCCCTGAGGCACACCCACCAAGCGCCATGTGGAAAATGTATCCAATCCCTTGTTTTACACAGGTGAGACAGGAAGAATTTTCTCACCCCGAGACTTGGGAAGGTAGGATCTGCTGAGGGGGTGGTGGCTGACCAGTGTCTGTACAGAAGGGACGTAGGGGATATTTGTAAGTGCACATGACCCCAGGCATAGGTGTGAAAGTCTCAGGAGGAGCAAGAAACCCAACTGCGTTTGCTATCACTGAACAATCACCTCACCATCTTGCTCACTCAGTCCGTTCTTGTCTTTTCAGAGGCTGCTAGACCATTAAATAATGATGTCTTTGAATAACATTGCCAGGTTGTGAAGCCTTATGGGATTTAAAGTTTCATCACCTTATTGCACTGGTCTGGTCCACCCTTGTTTCCATCCTGGTCATTCCATTAAGATATGGTTACCTGAGTTAGCCAACACAAGTACAGGAACCCCAGTTCCATTTTAATTTCAGATAAACAACTACAGCAAAAAACTTTTAATACAAGAATGTCCCATGGAGTCCTTGGAACACATTCTCTCAGGCAGCTCCACTTTAGGTCTCTGTCCTCAGCCATAAGAGTTCAAATCAGACCACCCCAGAAAGGCCCTTTTTATCCACGTACTCAGTCACCTCGTGTCATTGGCTTGCTTTATTCTCCCATCTTCACCAACTTCTGTGATGATTGGTTTTATTATTATTATTATTTATTGGACAGATAGAGTTAGACAGTGAGAGAGATAGAGAGACAGAGAGAAAGGTCTTCCTTCCATTGGTTCACCGCTCCCCCCCCCAAAATGTCCACTACGGCCAGCACTGTGCCAATCCGAACCCAGGAGCCAGGTGCTTCCTACTGGTCTCCCATTCGGGTGTAGGAGCCCAAGCACCTGGGCCATCCTCCAATGCCTTCCGGGACACAGCAGAGAGCTGGACTGGAAGAGGAAAAGCAGCCAGGACTAGAAGCCGGCGCCCATATGGGATGCTGGCGCCGCAGGTGGAGGATTAACCAAGTGAACCACGGCGCCGGCCCCATGATTGTTTCTTTATTCCCGCTTCTCAGCCCCTCCAGTTCTGATGCCTGGCTAGCGCTCTCCACTGTGAGCTCTTTCCCGAGGACTGTTCCGCCCAGCACCCGCCCTCCGCACCCAGACACCTCTCGGATCGGATCGGTCTCTGGCTGGCGCTGCTCACACACAGTGACCACCGGCAACTTGGTTCCCACCGGGAGGAGGAAATCTTGTTCATCCATTTAGTACTGGACAAGCATGCTTTGAACACATCCTGTATACCAGGCAGGCACTGTGGGCAAAAACCAAACAGGATACACTGCCTGACTTTGAAGAGCTCACCAAGAGCTGCGCGATGGTCTAAGACCAGCTGCTTATACAGAATGCAGGAAATGCTAACAGAAAGAGCAGAATGCAGCCCAGGATCACAGAGAGCCCCCCCCCCCCTTTACAGGAGCACGAATGTCATCAATTTGGCTGCTTCCACGCCCTCATCCGCTTGCAGTCTTTCCTGCACAATTTCCCGCTGGCCTGTCACCTTATTGATGCCCTGCTCTGGGAATTCCCTGCATGTCTGCCTGCCCCAGCACCTGTAGCCCAGTGAAAGTCCTCAAAAACATTCATAGAGTAGGACATTCATGCACTTTTAAAAGTAGGTTTTTTTTTCAAAAAATGGAGGAAACAAGAAGATTATGCAGCTTTTTAAGGGCTATAACACAAGTAAGTTGCTGAGCAACGATTAGGGATCACAGCTTTGTTGAACTGGTGGAGGAAGGCAAGAGTAGTCACGCACAAGTCCCAGCTCCATCTAAAGCAGAACATCTTTGGGCCAGTTCCTGCTAGTTACTCAAAGCAGACCTGATGTAGTGCACTTCAGCACCCCTAACCTGCCCAGTGTTTCTCCGATGTTTCCTGCAACACGGAGAGATGCCTTCTCCCCTGCAGTGTGTCATCACAGGCACGAGGAGGTCCCTCTTGGGTCCCCTCACTGGCCAGGGTCTCTGCACACTGTATCGAGAGACTCACTTCAGCTTCTTTGACTGCTCTGCAGGTCTGTTTTTACTTAGGAGCACGCAGGAAGGGAAACGTAGCTGTTAAATTAATCTGCCTTGGTGAAATATGTCCACCTCGCTAGTGACATGGCTGAAATTTACATTTTCATCACTCTAATGCAGGCAGGCCTCTAACTCCTCTTTGGAAGATCTTTCCAGAACACACCTTGAGAGACTCAATGACTCCAATAATGATGTCAATAGCATTGGGGCAGCGTGAAGGCAAGAATTCACTCTATTATTGGAATTTGCTTTAAGCAGTCACGCAGGGATGAGGGTGAGCTGTGGGCTCACTGGAGAATGGCGGGGCAGGAGAGTGGCCCGGCTCAGATTGCTGTGTTGGGTTGTGCTGCCTAGACCACGGGGGAGGCTTGAGCAGAGAAAGTTGATGAAAACGCAGCTTGCTTAGACTTTCTTTGGGGAAATTTGCTCGCTTTACTTCAAAAGCACTCAAAGACAAGACTGATCATCATTACTGCCCAGGGAAAGTGATAGCTGTTAGCATTCTGAATTTGAACAACGCCAGATGGGTTACATGACAGAACCCTCTGCTGGCCTAGTTCACGTTGCAGCCCAGCTTATCTGGATGGAGTCCTTTGGAACCCATCGCATGGTTAGTCTATGGTGGTAGGGGTTGTTTCCCACTCCCACCATTCCCCCAATCTAAGCTCCCATTGCTAAGACACATTTTATTTATTGCAAGGCTTCCTGACTGTTCCGCTTCCAGCCACCCCTCTTTTTCTATCCTGATTATTAATTCCGAACCAAGCCTATCTTCTTTAGAAGGAGACACTGGGAGTGAAGATTAGACAGGAACAACACTGGAAGACAGTTCTTTCAGTTCCATCAGCAACTCTTACCCTTCTGTGAAGCCTAGGTCCTTGCAGAAGTTTCTGCACAGATTGGAAGGTGAAATTTAAGAGTGCATGGATACACAATTAAAATACCTATGAAATGTGAAAAAACATATACATGCATCAAAAGGCTCCAAATAATTCTGAGAATAGCTGAATTTAGACTCAAAGAGATAACCAAAGATCAAGTTACTCAACATGTACATCCTGATACAGGAAGAAACAGACATGGACGGAAGCAAAGACACCCTCTCTCTCGAGAGTGGGACATGGGAAAAGGCAAGGGAAGAAAGAAAAAGAATCTGAATAAAGAAAGAAAACAAAACATTGGCTTGCCATTGGGATGAATTAAAATCCTAAAATTAGATCAGTAAAATCGAAGGTAAACCTGTGATGAGCTAAATATATAGCAAAAATCTTATAGAACTGGGAAATAGAGTTTATCCTCTATTTCCTGGTACCTGATACCAGAATAAACTGGAGAGATTTTTTATCTTTTCCCACTTAAATGATCAAAGTTAGAAACTATGGAATAGGGACCGGCTCTGTGGTGTAGTGGGTAAAGCTGCCACCTACAGTGTTGGCATCCTGTATGGGCACTGGTTCAAGTCCCAGCTGCTCCACTTCCAATCCAGCTTCTTGCTTATGCACCTGGGAAAGCACTGGAAGACAGTTCAAGTGCTTGGGACTCTGCACCTGCATGGGAGACCTGGAAGAAGCTCCTGGCTCCTGGCTTTGGATTGGCCCAGCCCAGTCATTGCAGCCATTTGGGGAGTGAACCAGCAGATGGAAGATCTTTCTCTCTCTCTGCCTCTGTCTCTGCCTCTCTGTAACATTGCCTTTCAAATAAATAAATAAATAAACCTTTAAACAAAAAACCAGTAGAATAACATCTCAAGGAGAAAGAATGTAACTAATGAGTGATTTTCATTCATAAAAGTGACTTTCACGTCAGTCATTCATTTTTTTCATTGAATGGGAAGCTCCAGGGAGAAATGGGAGGTTTCCAGGTATGATGGCGGGAGATAGCTACACAGAGGACTGGGGACGGGAGGGAAGCATCCAGGGAAAGGGGATGGAGTAGGGAGGTGGCGAGGGAGGGTGAGTGGAGAGGTTGAGTTGGACACTGGTTAGCAAACCGTGCTAAAGACTTCCAGCACTACCCTAGGCACTGGGGGCCCCTGAAGGGGAGCTTGCCTTTAAAGAAATCCTCTGGATATAGAAGGGAGAATGGAGCAAGGAGGGGTAAAGTGCAATGGAGGAGGGACGAATGAGAATGTCGTTGCCGTTGTTCAGACGACAAATGGTGATAACTTGGACCAGAGCAGTGCGCTGGGGACAGAACAAAGCAAACGGACCTGAGAGGTGTTTAGGATGCAGGTGGAAGGCAGGATGTGGATGATGCTGATGTTTTCTCTGCAGCAACTGGACTAGAGGACTGGGAAGAGCAGGTCCAGAGGAATCTGTGGCACATGCCAGGGAAATATTTTGTAGGCGGGTGGAAGAATCAGAGGGCTTGAGTGGAGATAGAGTGATCCCAGCATGAAGACAGTGATTCTATCTTAGAAATGGATGCCCTTGACCAGGGTGAATGTTTAAAAGGAAGTGAAATGGAAAGGAACTTGGAGGATACCTGTCTGCAAATATTTATAATCCATACAATTTTTTCATCAAAGGATGCTGGTGGATGAACCAACCATGGCTCATCAGATGGTGAAAAGTAGGAAAGCAACATGTGTTGAAGGGAGGGCTTGCTGATAACTCTAACTGGAGCTTCTATATATTACAAATTTTAAGGCAAGAAAGTGAAAAGAGGAAAACAAAGATATTTCAGAATTTTAGGTGGAATGGATGAATGGAGAAGGAAGGACTTCCAAAATGACAAATGACTAAATAAAAGGTAGTCCAGGGGACTGGCGTTGTGGCACAGGGGATTAAACTGCCACTTAGGAGGCCAGCATCCTATATCCTATCCTGGAATGCCAGTTCAAATCCCTGCTGCTCTACTTCTGATCCAGCTCCCTGCTAATGCACCTGGGAAGGCAGCAGAGGATGCCCAGGTGATTGGGCTCCTGTCACTCACGTGGGAGACCAGGATAGAGTTCCTGGCTGCTGGCTTTGACCTGGCCCATCCCTGGCTATTGTGTCCACTTGGGTTGTGAACCAGTGAAAGGAAACTTATCTTTCTCTGTTGTTTTATTTTTCAAATAAATAAATAGTTTTTTTTAAATTATTTACTTATTTGAAAGGCAGAGTTACAGAAAGAGATAAGGAGAGATGACAGATAGGGAGAGAAAGAGGTCTTCCATCTGCTGGATCACTACCCAGACGGCTGCAACAGCTAGGGCTAGGCCAGGCCAAAGCCAGGAGCTGAGCGCTTCTTCCATGTCTCCCACATGGGTGTAGGAGCCCAAGGACTTGGGCCATCCTCTGCTGTTTCCCAGGGGCATAGCAGGGAGCTGGATCAGGGGTGGAGCAGCTGGGACATGAACTATGTCTCCAACCCACTGTAGCACTGCTGGCCAGACAGATCTTTTATTTAAAATAGTCAAAAGACATTAATGACAAGCATATTCGAATATAGCATTGAGAATGATTATGGGGCCAGTGTTGTGGTGTAGCTGGTTAAGCCGCCATCTGCAGTGTTGGCATCCCATATGGATGCCAGTCGAGCCCTGGCTGCTCCTCTTCTGATCCAGCTCTCTGCTATGGCCTGGGGAAGCAGTAGAAGATAGCCCAAGTCCTTGGGCCCCTGCACCCACATGGGAGACCCAGAAAAAACTCCTGGCTCCTGTCTCCTGGCTTTGGATCGGCGCAGCTCTGGCCATTGCAGCCATTTGGGGAGTGAGCCAGCAGATGGAAGACCTTTCTCCCCCCCACCCCTCTCTCTGTGCCTCTCTGTAACTCTACCTTTCATATAAATAAATACATCTAAAAAAAGAATGATTATAAAGTGTTTGTTCCCAGAGGTTTGATCTTATCCTACAGCCAAAGAGGGAAAATAAAATCTGGAATCAGAGAAAATCGAGTATCTATCAGAAATACACAAACCAGAGCAAGGGCCTTGTTTCCTTGTGGTAGGTGTTGACAGTTTCACGTTACAAAGAGGAAACAGAGGCCCAGCTAGGCTAAAACATTGGATACACCCTTGATTTTAAATCCAGTGACCTTTCCCATCGTGGATTCCCTATGACCCACACAACACGGTAGCAAAATACAGCAGCAGTAATGATTATAGCAATGATTACACTCATGGGCCACCTTGACTATCCAAAGTACTTTAGAACACTGCCTGGCACACGAGAGGCCTTCAAACGGACATGTTTCAAACGACTGCTCTGGGTGACTAACTAGCCAACCAGTGCAAACAACAAGTGGAAACGCTCAAAACTGCTCCCATTGAAAGGCAATGTCAATTTGCAAACGTCCCCTCCTACCATGGTTCAGCCTTAGGGTTTTTCTGCTCCCCAGTGGCATGAGAGTGACAGCATTCAGGAGAAACTCACTTTGGGCTTTGAATCGGGGTCTTTGCTAGCAGAACGCAGCACCATTGTCTCTGGGGATGCTGGGCAGCGGCAGAGCGCACAGCTTCCAGTCGGCCTGGTGTCCATGACGCTCTCCAGCGTGCTGTGCTGCGAAGCTAGGATGTCTGACAGGGTAGGAGCACTTAGTGCATTTTAATTTATGGCACTTTTCAATTTACGATGTGTGTACTGGCACGTAATCCCATGGCGAGTCCAGGAGCATCTATGTAAAAACCCAAGAAACAGCGTAATAAAAATATCAGTGACTTACATAAAGATGTCTTTATTGGGAATTAGAAAAGGTTAGAATAAATGGCCCAGAAAAAGGGAGAATAAAGGAGGCGTAAAACACTGTTAGTCCTAAAGTCACATACAGGCTACAGCAATCCCAATTGAAATTTCAGTTTATTTTGGAAAAAACAGAAATAATTCACGACTTCATTTGGAAAGGAAATGGATGTCACTCTCAAAAAAATGTTTTATAAAAAGGCAGTTCGACCAAATATAAAAGCATACAATATAACAGCAGTAAAAAAGATAAGGCTAGAATACTCATAAATTAAATAGGTCAATGGAACATGATAGAAGCCCATAAAGTAGACAGAAAAAACGAATATGCAATAAAGCATCACAAGCAATAAGGAAATGAAGAATTGTTTGATAAATACTGAGAGGGAGGAAAATTACTTCATTCCTTCCTTCCTATATACCAAAAATAATCTCCATATGGAAAAAATATTAAGCTGAAAAGAACCAAATCAATGACAGTCAGTCAAAAATAAAATGAAATCTGAGCTGTTTGGAAGGATGAGAACTTTCTAAAGATTGAAGTGATGAAAGGAATTATAAAGTAATAAATTGCAAATAAAGCATGCTCTACAGTGGAAAAGTTAGAAATAAAAATGAATCGAAACAATTTGTTATAAATGAATTTTACAACAAATGATTTGACTAAATAATGAGAGTACAAAGAAATACACTTATTTTGTTTTTAAAATGTTTAAATTAGCTAGTAATAAGCATTCTAATGAAAAGTGCCACTTATTTTTATTAAGTGAAAATTATATCATCTAATAACTTCTGATCTTGAGATTTTTAGTTAGTTAAATTGGCAAATAGCAATGGTTGAAGTTAGTAGAAATTAATACAACCCTCTTGGAAAAGAGTTTGGTAACAAAATTCAGGACCTATGAAATGTTCACACTTGTGACACAGTACCACCTCTCTTGGGAATTAACTGGAAGGAAATAATTAGGAAATGAAACATGGAGTGTGGAGGAACGTGTTTATTGAGGCATCATTTATAATAGCAAAAAAAGAAAATAGAAACTAAACAGTAATCATTACAAACTATAATTATAAATATTATGCAACAATAGAGGTTTCAGTTGATCAATTAAGTAAAAATTAGCATTCCATGAAATTATATAATAGCTGTAGTACAACTATATAAATATGGGTAACAGCCTGAGAGAAAGTATGAAGAAATTATACGAGTGGTGTCACGTTGAAGTTATGAATCATTCTTCTCGTTAAAGTGCTACATAATTCTGCTAGGAAAGCCATTTTGATCAGCGTCTGTGTGTGTGTGTGTGTGTGTGTGTAATTATGTGACCTTGTTCAGATGACTGGAGATCTTGAAGCTTTAGTTTGCTTAATTGTAAGCAGGCTATAATCATAGGACCCACTTCATAGAGTTCTTACGGGAGCTGAATGAGGTAAGGCACATAAAACACGATGTACTAATGCCTCGTGCTGAGTAAATGTTCTTCAAGGTTATGAGAGTATCGTTGACTTTGGAAGTGATGACAGCGATCTCATTGTTGCTGAATCCTTGTTTGCGTATTTCCCTTGGTTCTCCATGGTTCATGGAAAATTGCTCAAATTTCTAATCTGCGCAATTAAAGACCACCAGCATTTTGTCCAGCTAACTTCATTTTTACCTCCCTAAGATGGGTTTCCTGCCCTAGTCAAGCCAACTTAGGATTCTCATGAAGTTTTATAAACATCCAGCACTCACCAAATACTGAGAAATGCCCAATGCAGGCATCACTTCACATGCTGCAGTCACATCTGTATTTTAGGAGAGGGAGACAGACTTCCGAACAAGTGAGTGAAAATGGCAAAAAGTTTTGAATAGTCACAAGCCAGCCTGACACTGCCTGTTAAGCTATATTGTTTTTTCACGGCAGGTTGTGCCACTCTGATTTGTTGGTATTTGTGCTCTTTCTGTTGTTAAACATTTAAAAAAATGTTAAAGATTTATTTATTTTAAAGATGGAGTAAGAGAGAGAGAGAGAGAGAGAGAGAGAGAGAGAGAGAATCTCTTCCAGCTGCTGTTTATATCCCAAAATGGCTGCAACAGCCAGGTCTAGGTCAGGCAGGGTGAGGAGCCAAGAGCTCTACCCAGGCCTCCTATATGAGTGCAGGGGCCCGAGTCCTTGGACCGTCATCTGTTACTTTCCCAGGTGCATCGGCAGGAAGCTGGATCAGAAGAAGAGCAACAAGGATTCAAACCAACACTCCTGTGTGGGATGTTGGTGTCCCAAGTGGCAGCTTAACTCACTGTGCCACATGCTGGCCCTGAGGTTAAATATTTAATACCATGCCCATGGTTAAATGTTTTAAACAGTACACAGGAAAATCAGAGTTATGTTCACTCTTTTGCTTGCTTATTGTTTGACTGTTATTACTTTTAACAATTTAACAAAATATGGGCATTCTGATTAGTGATTAAGGCACATGCATCCCAGATGGGAGTGCCTGGGTTCAAGCCCCAGTTCTAGCTCCTTATCCTATTTCCAACTCCCTGCTAATGGAAACTCTGGGAGGAAGCAGTGACGGGTCAAGTAACTGGATCTCTGCCATCTATGTGGGAAACTCAGAATGAGCTCCTGGCTCTGGGTTTCAGCTGGCCAGTCTCTGCTGTGGCAGGCATTTGGAGAGCGAACTGTATAGAGGAACTTTTCTCTCTGTCTCTCAAATAACCCATAAATACAAATATAAATAAGGCCTCTTCACCAACTCAAGCTCTCACCACTTGTCAAGGCTCAATTCACTCTCACAAGAGCCCCCCGCCGGCATTCTGTTGCACTTGCTTCTCCATCCTCTGAAATTCGTTATCTGTTCTGGGTCATTATTCTGTAACTGGACAGGAAGATTCCTAGGAGATAAAATGTGTTCCTGTTATTGGTTGATCAGACTATTTAACCATTGAGAATTCCTGTAATTTCTATCTTAAATGTTCAACAGAAGATAGGCAGCCTGTAAATAAACGTTGGAACCAATGGGACATTTTAACTGAGTAATTATTATTTATTCATCATAATCTGGATTAGTTTAAGAGAAGGTATCAAAATCGACCCATCAGTAGCTCCTGAAGGTAACTGTTCTGAAATGATTCTCCTTGGGACTGATTCCGTAAGAGACCAGTTCTGAAAGCAAGCTGGTGGCTTAATTCACGATGTGGCCAGGAAGAGTGAAGTATTTATAGTTAGGGCACACTAGAGGACTTTCTTACAATCCGATCGTTTAAAATCTGCCAACAGAAGGGCAGTAGCTAAAATCTTGGGGGTGCCGCGCCTAACTGAAATGCTGTCTTTCTAAGATGGCCCCTTGCTGCCAGTGTGTAGGCATCCAACTCCGAGGAGGAAACACAAGACATAAAGATGATAGCGCAGGGCTCAGTTTGGATCACGAGTATAATGCAGAGGAAGGCTTGATCCTCACCTTGAAAGTGCCCTATTATAAAGAAATCAGTCAGCTCTATGCTGGCAACGCCCCAGCTCTGTATTAACTATCCAGATTAATGTCAGATCATACCCCAGGAATTATTCATGAAGGCCCTGTGTACAATGTAATTGCAGATTTTGGCATCCAGAGTGAAGTCTCATTGTTTTATAGATTAGCTTCTCTTCCTGTGCTACGGAAGCGACAGTGATCTGAACCAACTTGTTCTAGGGAGGAGAGCAGTTCATGTATTTCACATGAGAACGCATTTGTCAGGTGAGAGATCCCGGGTCTCACTTTCGCTGCACCTTGAGAGGGGACCGGCGGCCGCCCGAGAAGGAGGTGGCTCCAGACCCATGAATGGCCACTTTGACTGTGGCTCTTTCCCAAGTGAAAGGAAGGGCTGTTTATCTGCGGTGAAGAACACGTTTTACCAACTGTGGCTCTGCTAAGCTCTGCTACGACTTCACCAAATGTAATTTTATGCAGGCGGAAGAAGAAATCTACCGGTTTCCAGGGGAGGCATCAATGGAGCAAATTCTCCAACTCCAATGAATCATTAATGAGTAGCTCATGTAATCCAAATATTAATACACCTCCAAAGAGATTCAGTATTTTACTGCAAATGTCAAGTTCCCTTAACTGAGATTTTAGACTCTAAGATCATTCAGACTGTGGCTCTCAAAGGTGAAGAAAGCCAGCTTGTATCCTGTTTTAGTGGATTTTGCTTATTTTACTGTGTTTATGACAGAGATAATGGTACCGACCTGTTTTCCATGGGTCTGTGTGGTACACAGAGGTAGTTTGTTTTCAGTGGGATAAATGCGTGTGTGTGAGGGATAAATGTGTGTCCGTGTCCACGAATGCCTAGCTGTGGATATGTAGATATGTTTGCTGGTATACATGTGTGCATGGATTTAAAAATTTCTGCACCAAAATAAACATCTTTTCATTCTATTTTTCTATGAATTTTAAGGAATGCCCTCATGTATATATGTACACACATGTGAATATATGTGTATACTGACATGTACATTTTGTATAAAGATAAATATCTTCATCTGGCTCTAGTTAAAACCTCTTCTGGGGCAGTTTAATTGGATGCTTACCACAATGGATGAAGTACTAGCCTGATAAAAACTGGTGTTTTTCTCCTTATTAAATTGCATTAAAACTATCAAATAACCCATATATCGTAGGTTCTCTGTCAGTTTTAGTATGTTGACTGATTTGCCTAACAGTAAAATTTTTCACTTCTGTGAGTTCTTTCTGGAAGAAAAAGTCTGTGAAATACATTTTCTTTGAATTTTTTTTTTTTTTTTTTTTTGACAGGCAGAGTGGACAGTGAGAGAGAGAGACAGAGAGAAAGGTCTTCCTTTTTGCCGTTGGTTCACCCTCCAATGGCCGCCGCGGCCGGCGCGCTGCGGCCGGCGCACCGCGCTGATCCGATGGCAGGAGCCAGGAGCCAGGTGCTTTTCCTGGTCTCCCATGGGGTGCAGGGCCCAAGCACCTGGGCCATCCTCCACTGCACTCCCGGGCCACAGCAGAGGGCTGGCCTGGAAGAGGGGCAACCAGGACAGAATCCGGCGCCCCGACCGGGACTAGAACCCGGTGTGCCGGCGCCGCTAGGCGGAGGATTAGCCTAGTGAGCCGCGGCGCCGGCCCATTTTCTTTGAATTTGAGTCAACGTTCTCTTGTCTCCACACCACAATTATCAGGTCAACCATTTTGGGTTTTTTCACTTGGCTATTTGTGGTTCAATAAGTACCTGTGTGTGTGTGTATACATGCAGGGAATGGAGAAATTATCTGGATTTCTAAGCATTTGGATATTTAGACAATGATATTCTCACATGCCTTTCCTTTCTACTTGACTGTATGTTGATAGCTTTGACCTGAAAAGTGATTAGTTACTGAGAAAGGAGATTAAGGGAGTGAGAAAAATCAGTATGAAAAGAAGGTGGGATGCTAAAAATAGGAGTTTCAGGCACATGGATGAAAAATAGGCCATCACCATGGGCTTGTTCTGTGACCCAAGAATGTTAATGTCAAGTTGTTGCCTTCTGTGGACGTTCATTAAATAAAGAAATACATTATTTAATATATGGTCTACTCTAAGAATAATTTAACTTGAAGTTTCATGCGGATATGATTGATCTTGGCCTGATGAACCCTACGCAATTATTTTCTTCTTATTCCACTTCAGCTATTTGGACAATGTGATGAGGGGATTCATTTCAGATGGTATGCACCGCATATTCTGCATGTTGTACCCACAGCTGCTGACCTTCTCCACAGAGAAAAGTGTTTCTGGCCAAGCTCCAAATCTCCCGTTACTCTTCAGCAACACTTAAGAGTTTGAGTTTGCACCTGCACACACCTACCAGCCCACAACTCTGAGAACCCTTCAGGAACATTTCACACCACAGAAAACACAATCCTGTTTCAGATGGATAAAATCTTGAGTGTAACGATGTCGTGTTTTGCTCCCATGAATGACAGAATTGGCGTTGCCAATCTCATTCATTGTTTTTTCTGTGGGCAAACATGTCCTTTCCAGCTGTTGGCTTTCCTAAGCACATCTGGATAACGAGGAGATCGGAGCTCTCCTGCCATTCTGTCAGCACAGGATGATGTCTTCCAGCGGGGAATCTCTGCAGCCCAGGGCCTCTCCTGTAACATTCAAAAGTGGGACCTCCGGATGAGATTTTTAGATTCCATGGCCCCTGGCCATTCATCACCATTAATTACTTGTTTACTCTAGAACCTAAGGTTCCTATTGTAGGGACTGTGTCTGTCTTATAGATACACATCCTCTCCAGTTAGCCTAGGCACACAGTAGGCACACAGTAGGCACACAGTAGGCTCACATTAAATCCTTGTTGGATAAGTGAATGGATAGTCTACTCCTTAATGAGCGCCTAATACATGGAAGCCATTGCAACTATTAACCTTTCTCTACAAAGTTTACAAAGAAGAGATCAGTGATTTCTGCAGAGCGAGCCCCAAGTCTCAAGAAGAATAATATAAAGAATACTGCCAATTGCATGGCTCAAAATCTTGAGCCAGGGAAGGCAGAAAAAAAAACAAAAACAAAAACAAAAAACCAGACATTCCCTGAATAGGTTTCCCTGAAAGTTCTGGAGATTTGACCATTCTCAGTTCCGAGCTGGACCACTTATCCCCTTGGAGAACATGTGAGTGGTCCTTAAAACAAAGATGCGGGCGATCTGTAGCTGTGTCTGTGCCACTGTGGGCATTAACTCAGGATTCCTGCACTGAGCTATTCATGTGACGCTGTCTAGTATTTATATGCTTTTGTATGCGCCAAGCACGGACCTAAGTGAACTGTGTGAACGGGTTAACCCCTTACAACAACCCCGGGAGACCTAGAGTATTATAGCCTCACATCAGAGAGAAGAAGATGCCAGCTTGGAGAGGCTACTGCCCTTGTTCATTGGGTAGAAGCCAGAGGCACTCTGGTTTCATGGTCTTAAACCCTTATGATAGTCCACTCCTTGATGCCAGAATACGGTGAGAATGGTCCTGTTTTGGTGTTGTTGCCAGAGCAAGGGTTCCAGCGAAGGAGCACATAGGGCACTTGAGTGTCAGAGAGATGCTAGAATTCTTCATGGCTCTCATTCTGACAAATTCTTTCTATGCAAAAAAAAAAAAAAAAAAATTAAGCAACGTAGCTCTGCTCCAAGATGGAAGGTGCAGAATAAACTGGGGTCCCACCGCACCTGGATAGAGAATGAAGATTTCTAAGCAGCTGTGGAGGAAAAGAAAAATCTGTTTTCTTAAAATACCAAACTTCTTTGCTATGGCTTAGCGGAGAACCCGCCCATCTTGGGGTGCAGCCTCCCGCCCTTTCTGGGCGCCTCACAGGCAGCTGGAGCTCCATCCAGCAGAGGGCGCCCGAGGTAGCCAAATGCTCCCGGGTTCCAATGGCGCGGCCTCGGCTCTCCGGCGGCTCCCGGGACTTCAAAGCCGCCGACGGGAGACGCTGACATGGTCGTCGCCAGGCTGTCAGTACAGGAACAAAAATTCCGTGTTTGCACCGGAGGGAAAATGGACAATGCAAAGCTCGGGAGAGAAGACGCGGCCCGGGGCGCTGGCACAGCCTGGACGCCGTGCGTGTGAGATGCGGGCGCGCGCGTGGAAGAGGAGCGCCCCGGGGTGCACCCCAGGGACCCCGGGGGCCAGGACCTTGGGTCGGTGGGGGTCCCTCCAGGACGCCCCGGCCACGCTGTGACGGCCTCGGCTCCAGGCTCCGCGCTGGGCACTGTCGGGAGGCGGGGCGCGCGCGTCGGCGTCCACCATCTCCACAACCGTCCAGGCCCGGGTTTTGAACACCCGCCGTGAGTGACCTGAAGTGGGAGAGAGAGAGTTTCCCAGCACCCTGGAGCCGCCCTCGAGGGGACCTGGGCGAGACCCGGGCGGCCGACTCCCCGCCCTTTCTTCTCGAATGTTCTAGAATGTTCCTTCGAGTGTGTTGTGTTGTGAACGACTGATCAGCCGGCCGCCAGAACGGCGTGACAGTACCCCAGTGTCCTGGCCCTGGCCACGTCTTGTTCCCGGGGCGCGGGCCCGGGCTGGCCGGTCCCACTCTGATGGGGACGCAGCGGTGAGACCCAGAGACCCGGGCCTGACTGCGGTGCACAGCGGCTGCAGGCCCGCCGTCGGCTGCACAATCCAGGCCGCGCTGTCGGCTGCACAATCCGGGCCCGCCGTCGGCTGCACAATCCGGGCCCGCCGTCGGCTGCACAATCCGGGCCCGCCGTGGGCTGCACACTCGGGGAGGGAGCGCAGTGGCTCCCCGCGGCAGCGGGCGCACAGCCCCCGGTGGCCGGATCCGGGCCGGGAAGTTAGCTCGTCCGTGGCAAGGTAGGCGCAGCCGGGCGCTGCTCTGGCCTTCAAAGGGCGCCCCGCGTTTTCTGTGCAGGAAAATAGGAGCAGCAGCCAGAAGTTTCAATCAGCGCCGAAGATTCCGAAACTATGACACTGTCACACTGGTGTCATTAAAGCTAACTAACCATATTAAACGAATATTAAAATATGGACTCCTTTGCATAACATAATGAGCAAAACCGCTTTTGAGTTTCTCCCTGTGCTTTGAGGTGAGGTGGTATTTCCATTCCCAAACTTTGAAGTCGGAACAAAATGTACAGGTAGAGGGTCCTAGATCAAATAATAATCAACTTCAAAAAGCATTTTGGCTGTTGGATGTCCCAGGGCTAATTTCCTCTAGACATTTTAAATGTAAATGTCTAAACTCATTTAAAAATTGTAAATTGGTCTAGGTTCAATCAAAAAGCATCCTGACTCAGAACAGGGAGACCAGGCTAATTGTCATTTGTTTGTCAAATGAATTCCATTTGGAAAGCAATGAAACCTCCAAGCTAATTCTTTTAAGGTGAGCTGGTAGTTGTATTATCAGTTAAATGCAGTAAAATGCATAATCATACGATGATAATGAAAACTGAACCTGTGTTAGCGCCGGGGCTCTGCCTGCCACAGGGCACGGAGTGATGGAACTTAAGTACTGTAATGTCGCCTTGGCCACAATGGCACCAAGTCTGGTCTTTAGCCTTACAGACACTTTCTTTGCATTTTAAAAAACTTTATCAAAGCACCATGGCAATATAGAAAATGTCAAAGTGAAATGCACTGTAGGCAAATTGAGATTTCATTAAGTTTAAATTTATTGCTTTTGACTGATGTATTACCATGCTTGTTAAGAGCCAGTAATTTGGAATATCTGTCTGCCTGGTAAAATAGCTTTGTCTCCTTGCATATTACTTTGTATAGACTTTGAAAAGCCACAATAGTTCAGAGCAAGTGTTGGCTGTTTCTGAGTAGTGTTTTGGAAATTGTAAGGCATTTGGCCTTGTGCTCTGATCAGCTTCCGTAGGCTTCCCGAATGTCTCATCGAGGTAAGGGAGACTCGTTGTTGAACTCCTATTGAGGGGACTTTCGTGAGTCTTGCAGAATGGTGAGATGTGTCCCAAAGTGGAGAGCTGCAAACTTCTCCTCTTTGGGTCTGTGGCTTCTTCACGCTCAGGAAGTGGGCATAGACGAAGATGAATGATGAAAGACACATCAGGTCGTCATCAGAGAGGCGGGATTATGGATGTCGTCAGAGAGCGGGTGAGAGCGAGAGAGCGAGAATGGTGGTGGTTTAGAGAAGGAAGACGGTATAGGCAGATGGTTTACAAAGGAGGAGAGGAAGACCCGAATGAAGATGACACAGCTCTGGCAGAAATAGGTGGAGAACATCTGGCTCCCTGTGACTGTTCGGCTTCAATGTCCCCTTCCCTGGGAGGTCTTTGCCGCCCCGGAAGTATTGTTGGTCTCCAACATAGCAGTCAGCAGACTTTGTTATGGAAACAGACACGCGAGAGGCCAAGGGGCAAGCCAAGCCTGATGGCATTCTGTAGATACTAACGTGACAACAGGGAAAACAAAACTACACAATAAAAAATTTTTAATGGGACCCAGGCAGGCACTGGGGGAGTGAACCAGTAGAAAGGTGATCTCTTTCCGGCCCATGTCCCTGTCGCTCTGGGTTTGGAACAGATTGTTTAGTAAGTATCAGCCTGCCCACAATAGAAAGGCCAACGTGTGAGAGAGAGGCCTCATCAGTCGGGTTTGCCTCTGTATTTCTAGCTCCTGGAGGGTTGGTGCCATAGTTGGATGCTTGGGGCATGTTGGTTACTTGGGTGATGCTAAATGACTGTGACATGGATCCAAAATGAATAGCTGAGAACATGTGGTAACCTGCTGGAGGGACAGGAAATTCTCATTGTTCCTTTAGCAATTCTTTTTTCTTTCTTTCTTTCTTTTTGTTTTTTAAAAAGATTTTATTTACTTAATTGAGATGTAGAGTTAAAGACAGAGGGAGACAGAGAAAGATCTTCCATCTGCTGATTCACTACCCCGATGGCTGCAATGGCCAGAGCTGGGCAGATCCAAAGCCAGGAGCCAGGAGCGTCTTCCAGGTCTCCCACGCCAGTGCAGGAGCCCAAGGATTTAGGCCATCTTCTACTGCTTTTTCAAGCCATAGCAGAGAGCTAGACTGGAAGAAGAGCAGCTGGGACAAGAACCAGCGCCCATACTATGACAAAGTGCCAACACCTTCTGTAGCATTTCTTACTGACCTTCAGTGGTGATATTACTGAAATCAGTAACTCCAACTTCAAGTTATTTCTATCTTATGTCAGTATTTTAGTCTCAGATTTCTTTTGATTTTACTATTACAAAGAAGTAATAATTAACCAGAGCATGTCTTGTGTTAGTACCTGCCCCCCTGTGGTATTTGCCTATTTATAAATACCCCCTTGACTGTAATCTTACGTGGGTGGGCATCTCCTGCCGGCTGCCTTGCACTTGTCTGCCTCCCAGTCCTGGCTTTCTGCAGCCACTCTGTGGACTCAACGCGATGCCTTTCCCGAGGACGCCCACCCTCGTGGCCCCTTCTCTGAATACCTTCAACACCTGCCCGTACACAGAACTCGTACGGCTTCATTTCAGAGGAATATTCTCGCCCTTTCATGAGTGTCAGTGTTAACAGCTCATGTAGCTGGGAGTGAGCCTCCAGGGTAGCAGCCTCTCTCATCTGTCTTCTATAGGCTACGTGGTACCTGCTTCAGGCATCCATATGTGCTTCTTAATTTTTTGTATTGTTCTTAGGAAAATAAGATGAAAATCATTTTAAAAATCCCATATCAAGAACTTTTAAATTTTTTAAATTTTATTTTTATTTGCAAGACAGAGACAGAGGCATACAGACATAGATGTTCCATCTGCTGATTCACTCCTTTAATGTCCTCAGTAGCTGGGGTGAGGTCAGGCCAATGCCAAGAACCCAGAACTCAGTCTGGGTCTCTCATATGAGGGGCATGGACCCAAGTACTTGAGATACTACCCACTACCTCCTAGAATGTGCTTTAGCAGGAAGCTAGAATTAGAAGTGCAGCCTGGACTCAAACTCAGGTGCTCTGGAATGGCACATGGTGTCCCAGACAACAACTTTCTTGCCTCAACAAATGCTCACCCCAAGAATTTTGTTCAAAAACATAAATACTTGGGACCGGCACTGTGGTGTGGCAGGTAAAGCCTCTGCCTGCATTTCCAGCATCCCATATGGATGCTGGTTCGAGTACTGGTTGCTCTACTTCCAATCCAACTCTCTGCTATGGCCTGGGAAGCAGTGGAGGATGGCCCAAGTCCTTGGGCCCCTGCGCCTGCCTGGAGAACCGGAAGAAACTCCTGGCTCCTGTCTTTGGATCGGCTCAGCTCTGGCCATTGTGGCCGTTTGGGGAGTGAACCAGCGGATGGAAGACCTTTCTCTCTGTCTCCCCCTCTCTCTGTCTGTAACTCTGCCTCTCAAATAAATATATAAATAAATAATCTTTAAAAAAAAATGCAGACTTGCACACACAGAGAAAATGAGAGCTTGGGACAGGTTCTGAGTGCCACAACAGGACTAGCTCAGACTGCAGCTTCTGCTACTGCAGACCCTGGGAGGCAGGGCGCTGACTCGTGTAACTGGGTTCTGCCACCCACCTGCGAGACCGACATTGAGGTCCCATCTCCCACCCTTGACCTTGGCCCTGGCCCAGTCATTTGTGAATATCTGGGGAGTGAACTTGTGGATGGGGACTCTATTTCTATCTATCCCTATCCCTAACCCCCTCTCTCCCTCTCTATCTCTATATCTGTATCTCATCTATCTGCCTATCAAATAAATGTTTCTTTTTTAAAAAAGAGCTTTCCAAGGTAGTCATAGCCAGCTGTATTGCTTATACTAACAAATTACAATGAAAATTTGAAAATCTATAATTAGAATTGAGACATTGAGTCTCTTAAAATGTTTGATGCATGCATATTTTTGTTATTCCCACTATAAACAACATTTCATGAAAATGTTTCACATCTAGGTTTGTGGTAAGTTTCTCTTACTGATTTCCAGTTAACCATGAAATGGAAGGAATCCTCAGAGTCATTTTCTGGACACTTAGTTAGGTAAGATTTGGCTGGACTGCACTTGGTAGAAATGAGAACAGTCCTGAAATCTGTTGTCCAGAATACCGACTGCCTGAGTAGTTGGCTCCAAAGTCTCCACCATGAATATGTTCATATCTGACATAAGCAGTCTCTTCTGTAAGAATCTGTTGGAACCATGAAATCTCTCTGCTTTGTTTGCCTAGTGAGAAGAATTAGTGGGAAGAGAGAAAGGGCTGGACTGTCAGAGAAGTCATAGGTCATTTCCACACTGACGAACTTCAGAGGGAACAGCAGAGAGAGTGTATCATTGGTTTTATTTTTTAAAAAAAATATTTATCTATTTGTTTGAAAAGTATAGTTATATATATATATATAGAGAGAGAGAGAGAGAGAGAGATTCCATTCACTCTTCAAATGGCCACAAGAGCCTGGACTGGGCCAGACTGAAGCCAGGAGTCAGGAACTTCATCTTGGTCTCCCACATGGGTGCAGAGACCCAAACATGTGAGTCATTTTCCACTGATTTCCCAGGCACATTAGCAGGGAACTGAATGAGAAGTGGAGCAGCTGGGACTCAAACCAGTGCTCATCTGGGATGCCAGCATTGCAGGCAGTGGGTTACACCACAATGCCAGCCCCCCATCTCATTGGTATTCTAATCTAGGGCTGGCCTTTAGACAGTGATTCTCAACTGGAGGAGGTGAGATCAGTTTTTTCCCTCCTAGGGGACATTTATCAATGTCTGGGAGACGTTTTCGATTATGTCAGTTTGGGGAGGAGGATATTACTGGCATCTAGTAGGTAAAAGCCAAGGATACTACTAACTCTCCCTCATGCACTGGACTGCCCTTATAGCAAAGAATTATCTGGCCCTGAAG